AATTGTGTGTATATGTTTGTATATATATATATATATATATATATATATATACACATACATACATATACACACACAATTCACAAAATTATAAGACTGTTATATTCCTACATGATTAATCACATATATACTTATGTATCTAATTAATAATCATTTGATTACTACACACACACACACACACACATATATATAAATCATTATTTACCATTAATTAATGTATATTACAAACAGTTTGAAGAAAAAAACAAGTGAGACTGCACCAGATCTGACCAAGATTTACTTGTCTGCGCAACATATATATACACACATATGATTACAAATTCTCAAAGAATGGCATACAAGTCACCTGTCTTGCAGAAAATGTCTGCTGAAACAAAAAATTGTTTAAAAAAATGTGACTTTTTTTTTATTTTTTAAATGGTACAAAATTAAAGGTTACATAAATTATGATCATGCTTGTTCAAAGAGTTAAACATAAAAAAAAAACCTTTGGAAAAAAAATAAAATTAGACCATGAATATATACTATACAGTGCAAAACTTAAGTTAGTCTAATTACACACTTTGTCTTTATGTAAAACTATATGTAGGAATGGTTATCAGTCTTCCCACACGTCACTGATGTTACAACTGTGGTCCTAAACACAATATTATACATTAGTGTTCCTCAACTATTGTGTCGTTCACAACAGCTGTAATACTGTAGTTATCGAAGGCTTGAACAGGCCCTTCTAAAGCTGCCAGAAAAACCCGGAAAAAGACACGCTGCTTATTCTCCACCTAAAAACAGTGATGCCAATGTTCAGTGTTTTCCAAATGGGGCAAGTCACAATGTGGGAGAACCAGTCAAATGAAGTAACAGGGGAAAAAACACTTTGGTGATGGGATTTTTTTTTTTTTAGGAGTATTAAAATAGTTACGGAACATACTTAAAAATAAATGTAACTGAAAAAAATAATTAAAAATCCAGTGGAGATTTGAGTTATCCACAAATGTGAACTTTGCAAAATCACCCCAAAAGACACAAAGGCAAAAGGCCACTTAAATGTGGTGTTTAAAGTAAAGATAACAGCATGGCAACATTGATGGGCAGCTCTATCCTTTCATTGGTATAGGTCATGGATCTGACCCGTTCAGGTGGAGAGAGCAGGAAGGCTGTAGGTCCCACACGCTGCTCCACACAGGTCAAACACAGAACGCCGCCCGCGTCCATGCTGTCCATCTGAAACACATTCATTTAATCAATACAGGAAGTGAGTTTTTGAACCTACAAGAATTGCTGAAAATGTACTCCCCCTCAGGCCATCTGAAATGTAGATGAGTTTGTTTCTTCATCAGAACAGATTTGGAGAAATTTACATCAGTTGCACACCAATGGATCCTCTGCAGTGAATGGGTGCCATCAGAATAAGAGTATAAACAGCTGATAAAAACATCACAATAATCCACAAGTAATCCACACAACTCCAGTCAATCAATTAACGTCTTTTGAAGGGAAAAGCTGCATGTTTGCAAAATTCTTCAAGACATTTTTTTTTTTAACTTCAAACCATTGATTCTGGCTAAAATATGAGTCCTCTATGTATAATATTGCATTCTCCAGAAAAAAAGCCTGAATCAGGAGAGAAATATGCATGGATCAAGCACCATTTACAAGTGAAAACGGTCTAAAGCAGTTCTAAACAAATATGTTGGTGGATGTTTTGATGTGAGAGGACAACAGAGGATGGACTCGACTTAATGATGGATTTGTTTCTTACAAACACACAGCTTTTCACTTAACAAGACACTAACTGATGGACTGCAGTCATTTGCATTACTTGTGGATCATTGTGATGTTTTTATCAGCTTTTTGGACTCTCAATCTGACGGCACCCATTCACTGCAGAGGATCCATTGGTGAACAGGTGATGTAATCCTAAATTTCTACATATCTGTCTTGACAAAGAAAACTCATCTATATCTTGGATGGTCTGAGGGGGAGTAGATTTTCAGCAAATTTTCATTTTTGGGTGAAATATTCCTTTAAAAGACAGATAAACAAAGGTGCAAAAAGACACTGACATATTTGACGGGGATTTTGCTCATGCTGAGGACGGAGTCTGCGGTGATGTGGTTCTCACAGCCTTCAATGGAGCAGATGAGAGATGGGTCTTTACTCAGCAAAGTGCTGGTCAGCTCTGACCGCAGGAAGTACTCCTGTGAAAGATGAAGAGGCAGGAATAATAAGAATGCTTCAATGTCATGATTTCTGGATATTCTTTGGATTATAAAGATCAGAATGAAACTGAAATGCATAGACAGAGAGCAATAACTCACCCCAGTGAATGTGAGGATGTTGCTGATGGTCCTGGTGATGTACAGCAATCTTTTGGCTCGTGTGATCGCCACGTATAACAGGTTCCACTCGTCATCTGGGACGTTCGCTGCAGCCAGAGAGTAAAAATTAGTCATATGCATAAGATTCTGATTGCAACAGAGACTATACATTCTCAACAAAAAAAATAAAAAGGGGGTAGTAACTTTTCATATGGTACTAATATGTACAAGTTTAGATACTAACGTGCATCTTTAAGGTGCAAATATGCACCCTTTAGGGGTAAATAAGATACAAAAATGTACCTCCCCAGTGACTGCTTTTGTACCTTTTTTCCTGAGAATGTACAGGATCTCTAACATACTACTTATATACACTATTTCTTAAAAGATCCATTTCAGAATTTATATTAATAAATAAGTGCACGTGAGTCAGGATATTTCATTTTTGATGCCTATTTTTTTACAGAATATCTTATTGACTGGTTAAAACTGATGGCACATGCAGTTGAACCCACAGAAAGTGTCCAAAGATTTCAGATCATCAGAAATGTACACTCTTAATGGACACTTTGATCTACCAGATGTGCAGACGATCACTTGGCTAAAGCCCAGATGGACTTTGACGCTCAGATACAGAGACTGTATAACTGGTAAGAGCTGGGCTTTATTTCATTATGTGCAAGTGTGTGTGTGTATATATGTATATGTATATGTATATGTATATATATATATATATATATATATACACACATACATATACACACACAGAGTATTCAAGAAAACATACATTCCTAAAGAAATGCCACAAACCTGCATTGAAACCGCCCACACTCTGCAGGTTGTGTCGTGCACACGGTACTTTCATAAAGTCATCCGTCACAACCACTGTGTCAAACTCCAGGCCTTTTGCCTTATGCACCGTACCAAGGATAAAATCTGTCACAATCAGAGACATAAAGGTATTCAGCTTGTTTATGAGGGCTGTATGCATACAGTGATTTTACTGCATGCCATCATTGTGTATTTCTCAAAAACAGTACTTTATTTGACTTCTATCTCTTTATTTCTGTCTCACTCACCTGCGCACACTGCGCTTTTCTGGGCACGATCATAGATCCGTTTGACCAGCTCTGGAATGCGTTTGTTGTATTTTTCCACCACGGCTAGCTTGGCCTCCAGCTCTCGGTCTTCCGAGGCCATGGCGTATCCCTTCAGACCTCTGAATCCGCCCATCTTATCTTTGCAGAAACTTCGGATGAAGTAATCCTTGATCGCAAGGCTCTCTAAAGTAGCGAAACAAATCCAAACAAAGCAAACTTTTTAAAAAACTATTTAACAACCATCAGTTTCAAAGATCCAACAAGGTATTAATAATCTGAATAA